TGCAAAAATTAGTCATATTATAGTTTGACCTCAAAATGTGCAAAAATTAGTCATATTATAGTTTGACCTCAAAATGTGCAAAAATTTGTCATAATATAGTATGTCTAAAATATGCAACATGATGTGCATAATGACCTCAAAAGGTGCAAAATTGACTCCATTATTGCCGACAGTAAGTCAGGCTCATTTCTAGTATTATTTGCGTTTTCTTCTTCTGCTGTGGAGGAAAACACTACAACACTTGTGCTTCTTGGAACAATTAGTAATCTAGTACAAAATTTTCTGAAGCATTTCTCTTTTCTTGCTAGTAAAGTTAAGTCCCTTTTAGTCTCCACTTGAACAACAAAACACATGCATTTAACTTGAATAGTGTATTTAATGTGACGTTTACAGAGGTTCAACGTTGTGCTATAAACGTTTTACATTCAGGGTAAGAGACAGTAAAGTCTCTGTCACAGCAATGCCAAAACTTCTATTTTTGCTCCATAAAAGAAAATGCACACAATCAAAATTCTTTGAAATTTGGAGAAAAACTGTTGAGGATATGCAGCTTTGATGTTTTCACAGCACAAAAAAAGAAAAAATAGCTGAAGCTGCAACAAAAGCACTTTGCAGTTGAAAGTAAACATCACAGGTAGCAGTTCTGGATTGGCTGTAGCACATTCAGAAAACAAAACAAAACTATATGGCAGCACACATCTCAAAGAACACTCTTTATGTCGGAGTCTAAAGTTGAAAGGTGAAGCTAGAGTACACCAACACAATTTGAAAAACTTGACTTCTTAGAGAGAAGGGATGGGTTTTAACTTTAAATCCTGTCCTGTGAAGCCTTTTCTGCTCTAACCTCGCTTTGCTTTTCCTCCTCAGGATTCAAAGGGTTCTGAGGCAGTGTGCACACACCCCTGAAGCCTCCACTCTAAGAAAATCAGCATGTAAGTCATCTCTTCAATAATAATATTTTATCATATGACTGAAGGTGAATCACCTTAGATCAAAGTGTGATCCTTGTACAAACTGTTGTATTTACAACTCCTGCAGCTGTGAGATGCCAAACAGTTAATGTATGCACCATAAAACATTCATTTTTATTTAGTCTGAGCTCAAATCTTCAGTTTTTTTTAATGAAATGTTTGTTTTTGCAGACATCAGTCGAAGACGTCTTGTGCGACGATAATCCGAGACGCCCGGTGATGCAAAGTGAAGAAGGATTCTGGTTTCAGTCCCTTCTGCTCCAGGGCCTCTCTGAGACGGACCGGCGGCTCCAGGTAGTACTGCATGGAGAGATGAGGTCAGAACACTAGAAATGGGTCTTGGCTCAGAGGTGAGGAAGTCTAGACTTAAATTATATTACCAGTTATACCGCATATTACATCCATGGAAAAAAAAATGGCTTTGTTGTATATGTAAGAAAATGTTACCATGAACTGCAAAAACCAGGCACTTAAGAAAACTATATTTATATATTAAGATTTAAAAATACTATTTTTTTTCAACACTATGTGGGAACTTTTTTATGGAAACCCATTTCTGCCACTCTGTTTAAAAAAAACCTCATGAGATAATTAAAATAATGAGATACATATAATCTAGATAAAAAAATCTAGGTTTTTTTTCTAGATATAATCTAGATTTTATCTCTTTATCTCGAGATAAAGAGATATCTCTTTATCTCGAGATAAAGAGATATCTCTTTATCTCGAGATAAAGAGATATCTCTTTATCTCGAGATAAAGAGATAATCTAGAACAGATTATCTCTTTATCTCGAGAAGATAATGAGATTTTCTCTAGATACTAAGATATTATTGAGATATCTCATCTCTATTTTTTTTAAACAGAGTGGCAGAAATGGGCTTCCATAGCCTTTAATAACTGACCAGTGTTTAGTGTTTTATACTGACTAGTAAAATTTCAGTAAATAGACCAAATATCTGCCAAAAATTCACACTTAAGATTAGATTATCTAGATTTTTAAACAGATGAAAATAGGGATCTGGAAAAGTCTTAAGTGAACTAGACTAAACAGCAGCACCACTGAGAATCAAAATGTGAATATTTTTCACAGGGAGAAAAAAGCCACAAGAAACTAACAGCCATTTTAAGACCATAGCAACCTTTTCTATATTCACAGTCTGGAAATTATAGTTTTTGTTCTACACAGGAAGGCCACTGGTACTGCACTGCAATCTTCAAGTCCTTCCTCCATTTCAGGGAAAATGGAGGAAGGACTTGAGTTTAAGAAGATAGAAATCTATGGTTTCATACTAAACACTGGTCAGTTATTAGAGGGTTCCCAGATAATGTTGAAAGAAATAGTATTTTTAAGTTAAATAATATCTAAATATTGTTTTCTTTCTCAGTGTAGTATGAGGTAGAACTGGTTACATAATTTAAGTCTAGACTTCCTCACCTCTGAGCGAAGACCAATTTTTACCGTCCTAACAAATGGTTGACATTTAATTTACACTGTATAAAGGCAGGCTGCTTCTATTTTAACTTAAGACATTACATGTAGTGACTGCTGCTGATTCTTTTCCAATATCCTACCTCATAGGTGAGGGCGAAGGTCCTGATGAATCTGAACAGCCTCTTCTGGATCCACATGCTGTCCCTTCATCACATCCCTGAAAACCCAACAGGAAATGACAAGTCCTGCTTAATGCTTATTAAAATGCTGAAACTGAACATTAAGATATTTTTGCATGCACGTGTATGAAAGGAGACCTTAAACCGAGTACCACTGGCTACACATTGGTATACTTAGCAAGTGTTGGACTACGCTACTGCACTATAATATGAACCTGTAACAGTGGTTTCAGTGAATTTGTCAGCTTCTGCACATATTAAATAACTTCATATGAAACACATAAGTATGCCCCAGAAGTGTGTGCCTCTCTACCTGGGCAGGTTTGCTCCAATAGGGATCGCTCCGAGGTTGAATGGCCCAAAGCGGCGTCCGATCTGGTAGGACGAACAGTAGCCTGTGTCGCCGGCGAAGAAGAATCGATGGTTGGGACCCAAAACAGACCAGCTACTCCATAAAGACTGAAAAGATATAAAAAGTTAAATGGTTACAATTCTGACAGTTTTAGTGCAGCAGAAAATTAAAGA